AAAACGGCCTGACGTTTTAAAAATGATTTTAAAGATTACACAATTCAAATTAATATTTCACAGTTTATTTACAGATCTCAATTTTCGTGGCATAAAGCGGCAACTTTTTTGTAAATTATTAATGCATATTTTATAATAATAGTAACGCTGCAGGTGCGGCCAACTAAAATATATAATTTATTCAATGAAGCATTTTATGATCATTAATATTTAAACCCGTAGTGCTAACAAGAGTTCACTTAAACCCCTTATGTGGTACGGCCCCATATCACCCACACAAACACTTTTTTATGTTACATACTAAACTTTAGTAATAATTAAACAACTATTCAGCTTCTTTACATTTGATCTCTTTTCGATTCAGATTAAATACAAAATCTAAAACGATTTAAAGCCTTAGGATCATTTTCAGTTCGTTTCTAATAAGTCGAACTAACATCACAAGTTTTCTGTTGTTGTTATTTTTCGATTCCCGGGCTGGCCAACTAAAATTACTAATCAGTCTTTCGGATGTGACTTTAAATCGAGGTCCCGTGTATGAGTGCATAAGCACTTGGCACGTTAAAGAACCAGTAGAAGCTTCTGGAATTGGGGTATCTTTCTGTATCTGTCTCCAAAATCTAAAACGACTAATACTCTTCTAGAGGACTCGCCCATATGGGCAACCTATGGCAAGAATGAATAAACTCACAACTTAGATTCGTCCAAATTACATGATTAAATATTAATGGCGGGATTCGAACCCGTAAATGTTGAGGACAATTTTACAGCCGGTCATTTTTATCATTGTTTCTAAAAACAGTTGGAATTTCTATACACCTACTTATATTTTCAGCTGTCGGTATATAGGAATAAACAACAAATACTACTTTGCAATTTAGCCCTTCAATTCATTTCTATTTCATTAAATACTATTTTGCCTTTTAAACATTGTTACTATTTCTAAATGTGTTACATTTTACCTATAAAAACCGTCTGCCAATTCAACTTTTAACTAACGTGAACCACATTTCAAAGGCGGATCGAATTACATGCTATGAATAACAAAAATAACATTTATATTTATTTTCAACAAAATAAATCAACTCCAGGCTCCGATGTCTCGGGCGGTATAATATCAATTATACGGAGAACAATGCAACTTTATAAAGGGAGCCTTAGAATATACTAAACTCCGCACAATAAACCTGTCACATTCAGATTCTGTAACCGAATATGCGTATTATACCTTTTCACATTAAATGTAAATTTCTTTTGTTGCTATTATGTCGGAATGGCCATCACGGATGCCTCAAGACAGCTGTTAATGTTCGCTGGAGGATTGAGCTTATTGTTCACTTAACAATAGATCCCATCAGGAATCTGACCCGGGTTGCCCGTACTTTTGTTAGTGTGTTATCTCAAAAGTGCGTCAAAAGAGATAAACTTTCAATCTCACACGGGTTAATTCGGAGCTTGTGAAATATGAGTAGAGAAAAAACGACACGATATCTGAAGCTGTGTACTGGCGTTTTATTTATGTTTTATGTGGACATTTTTTTTATGTGAGGCCTATTGAATGTCGTCCATGGTGAGACAATGTCGATACAGGTAAATTGTAGTTTATAATTAATACAATAACAATCCTTTAAATAGCATTGGTACACACATGAATGAATTATATCAATGTTTAGTATTGTCAAAGAGAGTACTGTTTCAAATGTCAATGATACGTATATATTACTTTTTATTTTGCTTTGTTAGATGAAAAACATGTGTATTTTTTTCTCTCTTCTCTTTTGAAAATAAATTCACATTGTTTTTGTTAAGATATACTTGATTTATTTAGTTTATACAGTTATTATTTATGTATTCAATGACATGCTGGAGTCATAACAACCAGCTGAGCTCAAGCCAACCAGTTGGCATCAATATGGTTGCCACAACCATGAATGTAATTTATTGACAAAGTTTATGCACTAAATGTAACTCACAGAAGAATAGAAGGATACCAATCGCATCTTCTCGGCCCGTTCCGTCATACATGTTATTATGAACAATAGCCGAGGTGTGCCGATTGACACTATACATTACCCACTAAGTACTATTGATACTGAAGAAAACATTACCCACTATGCATTACAGATAACCCAGATAACATAACCAACACATAACCCACTGGATACTTTGATATTGCAGTATAAATTACCCACTTAAAACCACTGATACCGCAGTAAACATTCACCACTGGGCAGCGGTGATACCGCAGTATACATAAACTACTGGGCAATACCGATACTGCAGTATTAATTACCCACTTAACACCTCTGATCAATACCACAGTAAACATTCACCACTGGGTAGAGGTGATACCGCAGTAAGCATAACCCACTGGGTACTATTGATACTGCAGTATTAATTACCCACTTAACACCACTGATACCGCAGTAAACATTCACCACTGGGCAGCGGTGATACCGCAGTATACATAAACTACTGGGCAATACTGATACTGCAGTATTATTTACCCACTTAACACCACTGATCAATACCGTAGTAAACATCCACCACTGGACAGCGGTGATACCGCAGTAAACATAACCCACTGGGCAATACTGATACTGCAGTATTAATTACCCTCTTAACACCACTGATCAATACCGTAGTAAACATTCACCACTGGGCAGCGGTGATACCGCCGTAAACATAACCCACTGGGCAATACTGATGCTGCAGTATTAATTACCCACTTAAAACCACTGATCAATACCGTAGTAAACATTCTTGATAGCGCAGTATACATAAACCTCTGGGCAATACTGATACTGCAGTATTAATTACCCACTTAACACTATTGATACCACAGTAAACATTTATCACTGGGCAAAACTGTTACTGCAGTATATATTACCCACTGGGCCATATTGATACTCTAAATATTCATGATTGCCGACAGAGCACCAATGATACTACAGTATACCTCACCCACGGAGCGCCACTGACAACTTATTATTAATTGCCCCTAGAGCAGCACTTATACCACTGATAACGCAGTATACATTACCTACTCAGCAGTGCTGAACCCGCAGTATACATAACTCAATGCGCACCATTGATACCGCAGTATTATTTACGCACTGAACACTACTGATAACGCACTCAACATTCATCGCCGGGCAAAATTGATACTGCAGTGTTATGATATTGATAATACACTAAACATTGCCGATAGAGGACATATGATACTAAAGTATACAGTACATTACCCACAAAGTTCCATTGATATCGCACAGTAAACATGGCAATCTGAGTCCACAAATACCACTGATTATTACAATTCTCATCGAGACTAACGATTCCGCTGTATATATAACCTACTTAGCAACAATTATGATACAAAAATTTATATAACCAACTAATACTACCGATGAAAAATCATGTGCCACTGTTCACCGAACTTAAAGGTCTTTATTTGAAGGTCTCGAGAGACCATAGGAGACCGGCCATAAAATGGTAATGTTTACACGGGCAAGGTTTGGACGCTAACAGTTGTTTGGCTCTAATAGATGTACTGCGGATGCCCAGTTCCGGTGAGGTTCGACTAGTGTTAATTCGTGACAGATTAAAAAGCCGATTTACGAAAGAAATAAGTTGTGTTATGTGTCATCAGTTATTCATAGAAAAAAAGCGAACTTTCGAGTTCTATTGGAATAAAATTAACGGAATCTAGCTTTGCAACGCTTTTTATTTTGGATCATTTACTTAATAAAAAAATTATCAAAAGGTTTTCACGTCCAGACCTACATCAAATAGTACACAGACCTTGTCAAAAAAATTCCAGTACCGTCATGTCAAAAGAACCTGAGTTGAGTTGGCAGTACTCAGAGATAGGTAGATAGAGTCCCTTTAACAACTCAAGTGACTCCCTCTTCAGACCTATTATATTTATGGTTTTTTTTTCTATAATTTCTTCAAGGACGACAGAAGAAATACTTTGGCATTGTTCCGTATTGAGTTATAATACACATGTATTAGTTTTATATCCCACATAAAATACTTTTTTCTTTGATCTATGTAGGTGTACATTGTCGTAAACCAATTTTTGTTATAACAGATTTAAATTTGGTAATTCTTGTAAATCCCGACCTGCATTTACATTCTCGTTAAATAAAAATATTCGACCTGATTCAATTGATCTTTTTTATTTATTTATGTCAGCACTAATTTTGCATGCGTGATGGTATTTAGCAAACAGGAAAAACTTCAAATCAAAAGGTATTACAGACATGTCTTCACACAGAAATATGAAATTGTAGCTTAAAAATTTGTTCGTGAAAAGCTATTATAAGCAACTTGAGATGTTAAATAACACGAAATATGAAATCAATTAATTCTAGAAGGTATCTAATTTACATGTTTTCATAGATAGTAATGTGATCACTGATTTCTTAAATTTGTGGACTTTCTTTTTTTCAAAACCCTTACCACTTGATTCATCGCCGCTTTGGATTCGATTTTTAAAAGTTCTAATACTCCATTCAGAAACAAAAACGTCATAAACAATAACAGCTGTTCCATTCGTCATTTATGATTTTACCCTTTAACAAACTTACTTTGTTTGTTTTGACAAACGCTCATTTGAACAGATATTAAATACTATTCATACAATTTTCATTTACAAATAATTTAAAAAATAAACAGTTGACTCTCAATAAGTCAAAATCGCATTACTCAAAATTCCGCGTAAGTCGATGAATTTCTAAAGTTCTGTCAAATTTCTTTCTGTGTACATGCATAATAAGTATTACAATAACTGACAAGAAATTAAAATCATTGATGCAAAGCATCAAAGGCGACGCCAAAAGTTTGTTATTAATTTAATGTATTAAACGCATTTTCTGTATGGATTTAGATTATCTGTCTTTTAAGCAGGAAATGAACTAAATTTGCATTTATACTGTTAAATGGTCTGTAATGTTATTACTTATACGACAATACAACAAAAGCAAACACAGTTTACTATTTGTAGAATTTATTTTTTAAACAAGGCACTATTGACACTAAATAACAGGAAAATACAGCAAGAACAAAAGGGTGAAAATAAAGCAAGAACAAAAGAGTTATGATTGTTAACATGTGCTACAAAGATATTTGATATCTGAGTGTTATTACAAAATAGTGATATCACAGTTAAGTTCTACTATTGAAACTGCACATGGTCGATACTTTATTAATGCAGCTCAAAATAAAAACGAGCCATTGTCCAAGTTCGTACAGGTTTACAAGTGAAATGAAAAAATAAGTGACCCTTCATGTCAGGCAAATATTGACAAAAGTGCGATAATTTGAACAAATTGATATATATATATATCAACTACTCTAAGAGATACTTGATATGAAATAATTAAGCTCCAGGTTTTTGGATTTCTGACAAGAGGTTTTTAATGTATTTTCTTGATACAGAATTTTTTGTAAAGCAAGTGACCACCCAGGAATCAAGGTTAATATTAATCTCAAAGGCAATATCTTGAAAATAAGATGTCAAATTTAAGGTGCATGAAATAAACTGAACACTAATAATATTTCACATTGTACTTAGGAGTGTAATGATTCAACATTTTTACCTAGGAATGTAATTTGATCATCAAACAATCGATGAACTAAATTAGCTACAGGTATGACATTAAAATAGCAGTCATGACTAGATGTATATATAGTTGACTAGATGAATACATAAATATAAAATATATAAAAGTAACTGTAAAATGAAAAAATATTGAACATTTTATAAAAGTAATCAGACATCAATCTTGATAAAGTTTAGTGTTATCTAAACTATGCAATACAAAAATGTAACTAAGATAGATCTGACTAGAAAATATATAGGCATGCAGGCTAAGTACAGATACATGTAACAAACTTACGAGAATAAACATCAAGTGAATAATATACACAAACAATATAAAAAATCAATGAAGAATATGGATTTCTAAAGGTTGTAGAATATTAAGATATAAAGACATAATATTGTAAATTTTTAGATAACCAAGCAACAGAAAATTTGTGGTACCAGGGTACAGTTGACAAAAACTATGATTTCAGTTGAAGCAATGCTTTTATATGACTGGTACCACATGACGATTAAAATTAATTTTGAAAATGAAAAAATATGAGGTAGTTAACATAATAACACTTAGTTTTCTAGGTAAAATAAACACAAGAAAAATGATAAAATATGAAGTAGTTAATATAATAACACTTAGTTTTCTAGGTAAAATAAACACAACAAATATAAGTATTTATAAATGAATAGTATAGTATATAAAAACAAGAGGGCCATGGTGGCCCAAAAGTCGCTCACCTGAATATAGTTCTGCATGGAATTAAATACGTTTGAACTATTTTGAAAGGTGTCCACCAAAGGAACATTCCTTTCAAAATTATTACTTGGTGTAAAGAAACAAAATTATTACTTGATTTAAAGAAATCAAAATGATCTATATTTTATTTAAATAAACGCCTTTCAAAACTTTGTTTCAAATCCATGTCCTTATACCCCACTTTGTGTGAATTCTTTTTCTGATGCTAAAATATTATACAAAACCTTCCCAATCTTTTCACAATACATGATATGCAATGGGAAAACATAAACTTTGGACGGTGTTTTGTTACATTGATCACAAATAAACGAGGCACACGCGCATCAATTTACAGGTAGAAAATAAATAAACACACAATTACATCCTTACAAATATACAAATGTCAAGGCCATATTTCATTAGAAACCTGTTAAAAGATAAAGTATTTACATCACGCTACGTTATTCAATATCGTACAAAAAAAAAAATCACATCAACTTCAATTCATACTTTACACGTGAAACACTTCAACAAAAGGAAGACCCACGACATTATATCCCATATCATGTGCCAGTTTTGCTAGTCCTTCAGTTTCAATGTGATGTTTATACACAACTTCCGGAAAGTGTAAACCGCTTCGGTGACAGTCTGCTTTTATCATAAGTGCGCATCCACCGACACCGTCTAATTCCACTATTCGACCTTCACTTTTGAGATCCGGAAGATAAATTCTGAGCGTCTTACTGTAACCTTCTAATACTAAAGCGTCTGGTTCGAGTTGCGATTGATACTTCTTGGAAGCGTTTGTTTCTCTCCAAGAATTCCGATCATAATTCATTTTATAGCCCCTTCTTCTCATTAAGCAACATGTAGCAACGACATCTGATTTCGCGAACAGCATCTGTTGAATTAGGTCAACCGGAAGTTCGGCAATGTCACTGTCAATCCATAGAACATAATCAATTTTTTTCTGACGCAGAGCAAATCGAAACAGACGATTTCTAGCTAGAGCCATGTGTGTTCTCCTGTGTTCCTGGACATATTGCTCGTGTCGCGTTCTATGTTTTCCTTGGAAACCTCCAGAAATGTTCAATTTAACAGCATCCGCTGAATTAAACTTTTTCAACTTTCGAAGATTGTATGCAGTTCTATTCGCTTCTTCAAATGTGTCATCCGTGCTTCCATCCTCGCCAAAGTACAAAGAGATTAAGTGATGAGGATAACTCAACTTCCCGACTTGTACCCCGAATCGTGTTAGTGACGTTGCTGCGTTACGTACCGGCGACAAGATACATATTTTATATACATATGTATCGTTTGGTAGTTGCAGGAATCTGCTCAAAATCTCTTGTGGCAGCTGTTGAATCTTGTCACTTTTTGCACTCTCCGAAATATTATATATGTTGTTAACAATCGGATGTTTCAAACCCGGCGTGTGTTTCTCCGTAAGTTCGTGTTGTTTACCAGGCGTACTCACTATAATCGGTGTAGTTGTTACCACATATCTTTTCTCTTTTGAGAATTTATGAATTATAAGTGTGAACCGTATTAAAACACTTATCCCGATAATTACAAAAATCACTATAAAACAAAACTTAAGCAAAATTTGTTTATACTTTCGTTTCATTTTAATAAAGCATATGACCGTGACCAGTGTATATGCGGATACACATACAAAGTATTACGTCAATAAAATTCATTTAACATCATTCATATATCTACCTGAATATCAAACTAAAGTAACACATGTGCATAAAGCGGCAACTTTTTGTAAATTATTAATGCATAGTTTATAATAATAGTAACGCTGCAGGTGCGGCAACCTAAGATATATAACGTATTCAATGAAGCATTTTATGATAATTAATATTTAAACCCATGCTAACAAGAGTTTACTTGAACCCCTTAGATATGTGGTGCGGCCCCATATCACCCACACAAACTCTTTTTATGTAACATACTAAACTGTATTTGTAATAAAACAACTATTCAGCTTTTTACATTTGATCTCTTTTCGATTCAGATTGAATATAAAATCTAAAACGATTTAAAGTCCGGGATGGCCATCTTAAATTACTAATCAGTCTTTTGGATGTGACTTTAACAAGGGGCAGGACGTGAAGTGGTTGCACACTTGGTTCAAGCGAGCGAATTGGTTGCTAACTTGACAAAATGTCAAACACGGCGTGATTTTTTGAAACGGGCGAACGAATTTTTGCCAGGCAAGTGTTTTTTTGTTGTTATTTTGAAGTTCATTAGTATGTCTATTCCATAATGAAATATATATGCCACACTCGGTTTAAGGTTTCAGCATCCTAGATTCTGTTTTGACGAAGTTATTGAAGATATAAACTGATCATGTAGATATTTTGAAATTTGACATGTGACTGTTCTGGTCGGTTTTTCTCCTAATTTATTCGAATTTGTAAGTTTTGAACTGCATTTAACAATAACAAAATATGTTTCTGTCAATGCTGTACAAATGGTTTAGTTCGCAAGTCCGAAGATAACGTTCAATACACAAAAATATCTTGTTCAAGCACATTTTGGTTGCAGACTTATACTTCAAGCATTTTTGGTTGCAAACTTATTCTTATTCTATTGAAATCCATAGTAAAATTTTGCAAAAAGAGTGTAGAAACCTATTTTCAATGGCAATTATTGACATTTATGTTTTGTTACTTGTTTTTGTTATAAATGTTATTTATACTTTCTTCTTTTACAACAGTTTTCAAATTACATGGTTCTCGGTTCAATACTATAATCATCAGTAAAAGCCTGCATACAAAATAATAGCATATAGAATGTGAGAGTACTATTGTATGTAAGTGAATTATTTTCATCATAAACATAAGGACATGTGCAAACATACGATATTACTCGGCAAAATTTCTAAAGTTTATCAAAACCACAAGAAATGTTAATTTGTTTGTTTCGTATGATCAGCAGTTGCTTTATACATAAATTATGTAAATGTACTTTAATATTTTTACAAACCAAAAGTTAAAATGACATGTTTGTTTAAAATATTTCGGATTTGATGTACATCATATGTCAACTGGTATTCTAAAGATGATTTTGATTATTATATCATAATATAAATGATATACGATTGGTTATTTACATTGACTGATACGTGACAAAACTACTTAAAGTCATTATTCGAGTTAGGGAATTTGGAAGATGTTTCGATTGGTCAATAATAAGGAACAATTTAAAGAAACATGTGAATAATGCCCTTGTGTCAATGTTAATATAGTGTTTATCTAATATATAATCAAATTTATTTCAAATCTCAAAAAAGAACAATAATGAAAGCTGTGTGTTGATATTTTCTTCTTCTTTTCCTTTACAGTTAGTCAAACCAAGATATAAAACAGTCCTAAACTTTGTGAAAGAAAAGAAGTATATCGAGGAGAAAAAATGATGAAGATAAACACAACTGAACTTCAATTTAGCATATTGTGTTATATATCTATTTGAAAGACCCTGTGTTAGGATATATCTGCACGCATGCACAATTTGTATATATATTTCTTATTAGATGAACGGGTATAATTGCCTTAATATTCCTAATTATTTAAAAAAATGATTAGTAATTCCTCGCTTAAAATATGCATGCCACATTATTGACACAAAAGTTTGCAACCAAAAATGCTTGAAGTATAAGTCTGCAACCAAAATGTGCTTGAACAAGATATTTTTGTGTATTGAACGTTATCTTCGGACTTGCGAACTAAACCATTTGTACAGCATTGACAGAAACATATTTTGTTATTGTTAAATGCAGTTCAAAACTTACAAATTCGAATAAATTAGGAGAAAAACCGACCAGAACAGTCACATGTCAAATTTCAAAATATCTACATGATCAGTTTATATCTTCAATAACTTCGTCAAAACAGAATCTGGGATGCTGAAACCTTAAACCGAGTGTGGCATATATATTTCATTATGGAATAGACATACTAATGAACTTCAAAATAACAAAGAAACCCACTTGCCTGGCAAAAATTCGTTCGCCCGTTTCAAAAAATCACGCCGTGTTCGACATTTTATCAAGTTAGCAACCGATTCGCTCGCTTGAACCAAGTGTGCAACCACTTCACGTCCTGCCCCTTGTTTAAGTCAAGGTCCCGTGTATGAGTGCTAAAATACTTGGCACGCTAAAGAACCAGTAGAAGCTTCTGGAAATGGGGTATCTTTCTGTATCTGTATCTTGCACTATCCTCCAAAATCTAAAACGACTAATACTCTTCTGGAGGACTCGCCCATATTGGCAACCTGTGGCAAGAATAAATAAACTGACAGCTTAGATTCGTCCAAATTACATGATTGAATATTAATGACGGGATTCGAACCCGTAAATGTTGAGGACAATTTTACAGCCGATCATTTTTATCATTGTTTCTAAAAGCAGTTGGAAATTCTATACACCTACTTATATTTTCAGCAGTCGGTATATAGGAATAAACAGCAAATACTTCTTTGCAATTTAGCCCTTCAATTCATTTCTGTTTCATTAAATACTATTTTGCCATTTCAACATTGTTACTATTTCTAAATGTGTTACATTTTACCTATAAAAACACTCTGACAATTCAACTTTTAACTGACGTGAACCACATTTCAAAGGCGGATTGAATTACATGCTATGAATAACAAAAATAACATTTATATTTATTTTCAACAAAATAAATCAACTCCAGGCTCCGATGTCTCGGGCGGTATAATATCAATTATACGGAGAACAATGCAACTTTTTAAAGGGAGCCTTAGAATATACTAAACTCCGCACAATAAACCTGTCACATTCAGATTCTGTTACCGAATATGCGTATTATACCTTTTCACATTAAATGTAAATTTCTTTTGTTGCTATTATGTCGGAATGGCCATCACGGATGCCTCAAGACAGCTGTTAATGTTCGCTGGAGGATTGAGCCTATTGTTCACTTAACAATAGATCCCATCAGGAATCTGACCCGGGTTGCCCGTACTTTTGTTAGTGTGTTATCTCAAAAGTGCGTCAAAAGAGATAAACTTTCAATCTCACACGGGTTAATTCAGAACTTGTGAAATATGAGTAGAGAAAAAACGACACGATATCTGAAGCTGAGGATACTATTCGTACTGGCGTTTTATTTATGTTTAATGTGGACATTTTTTTATGTTATTGTATGTCGTCTATGGTGAGACAATGTCGATACAGGTATGTAGTTTATAATTAATACAATAACAATCCTTTAAATAGCATTGGTACACACATGAATGAATTATATCAATATTTTGTATTGTCAAAGAGGGAACTGTTTCAAATGTCAATGATACGTATATTACTTAAAGTATTTGTTTTTCTAATTCCGTGTATGGACTCACATTACTTTGTTCTTGCTTTGTTAGATCAATAACATGTTTTAAATACTTCGTGTAATTTTTCTCCCTCTTCAGTTTTGACAATAAATTCACATTCAATTTGTTTTTGTTAAGATATACTAGTACTTGATTTATTTAGTTTATACAGTTATTATTTATGTAATCAATGACATGCTTGAGTCATAACAACCAGCTAAGCTCAAGTCAACCAGTTGGCATTAATATGGTTGCCACAACAAAGGTCACACTGAATGTTACCCACAGAAGAATAGAAGGATATACCAATCGCATCTTCTCGGCCCTTTTATTAATCTCCTACGCAATGATCTCCCCTTATCAGTACAGAGATCTGTGCCATCACAAACATTGAAATATCAATATTTTGATATTTTATTTTTTTTAGCTTTTTAATTTATTTTTCATTATTTTGTATACTTTTGATAATTTTTTGATAAAATATAACGGACGTAGGTACAAAAAGTTAAAAATCAAACAGAAAGAAAAAAATGACGTTAGATTTTCTATGTAACGGTTGATATTTACATTTGAATTTCGACGTTACGGCATGTGACTTTCATCATCATGTGACGTCTGTACAATTCTGCCAAGGGAGGTAATCACTGTGAGGAGTTTGACTTGTTATTATGAACATTAGCCGAGGTGTGCCGATTGACACTATACATTACCCACTGAGTACTATTGATACTGAAGGAAACATTACCCATTATGCATTAATACTGATTACCAAGTTAACATAACCAACACATAACCCACTGGATACTTTGATACTGCAGTATAAATTACCCACTTAACACCACTGATACCGCAGTAAACATTCACCACTGGGCAGAGGTGATACCGCAGTAAACATAACTCACTGGGCAATACTAATACTGCAGTATTAATTACCCACTTAACACCACTGATCAATACCGCAGTTAACATTCACCACATGGCAGAAGTGATAGCGCAGTATACATAAACCTCTGGCAATACTGATACTACAGTATTAATTACCCACTTAACACTACTGATACCGCAGTAAACATTCACCACTGGACAGAAATAATACCGCAGTATATATTACCCACTGGGCCATATTGATACTCTAAACATTCATGATTGCCGACAGAGCACAAATGAAACTACAGTATACCTCATCCACTGAGCGCCACTGACACCTTATTATGAGCAGCACTTTTACCACTAATACCGCAGTATACAATACCTACTCAGCAGTGCTGAAACGACAGTATACATAGCTCAATGCGCACCATTGATACCGCAGTGTTAATTAGGCACTGAACACTACACTGATAACGCACTAAACATTCATCGCCGGGCAAAATTGATACCGCAGTATTAATTACCAACTGAACGCTACTGATAACGCACTAAACATTCATCAACGAGCAAAATTGATACCGCAGTATTAATACACTAAACATTGCCGACAGAGGACCTGTGATACTGAAGTATACAGTACATTACCCGCAAAGTTCCACTGATATCGCACAGTAAACATGACCAACTGAGCCCACAAATACCACTGTGTTTAAATTACTATTCCGCTGTATATATAACCCACTTATACAGCAATAGATATATAAGGCAGGCTAACACTATGAATTAAAGATCACGTGACACGTCGCGACCTTGAAAGTCTTTTTTGAAGTCTCAGAACCATAGGGACTGCATAAAAGGGTAATGTTACATATGGCAATTTCTCTGTCATTGTAATTCTTTCTTGTTTGTGTGTAGGAAATGAGAAGTATTTTTGGGTTTTTACCCGAAACTAAGCATTTTGGTAGCTTTGTATGTATTTCTGACTCTCCGAATGGAGGTGAAAAAGTTAAAAATCAAGCTTTGACAGTTGGCGCCAAACAAGTAAGAAATTTCAGATAAATTTTGTGAAAAATCTAAACGTATGACAGACACTTTATTGGTCATTTCTGAAAATGCCATAGCTTGCACTGCGTGTTACAGATATTTTTAAAGGAATCGGGCGGATTCTGGAGTATGCTGCACCTTCATGAAGATTGCCCATATTGGTATATTTTAGGTGTGATTTTGGCTGGGTGGGGGTAAATATAAATTGCTGTCAGTCATTTTTTGAAGGAGCAATGCATGCAAACTATTATTTTCTTCAATGTATGTCATATATCATTGAATAATGCTGTGCAACTGGTTATCTGCCTGTGAAATAGATTTTGAAATATTTGGAATTGTGTTTCTGGTCACACTGAAATACAAAATTTTCATTTTTAGGTCCCCTGCCCCCATACCAACTAACACTACTGATTAAAGACCACGTGACACTGTTCGCCGACCTTGAAAGTCTTTATTTGAAGGTCTCGAGAGACCATAGGAGACCGGCCATAAAAGGGTAATGTTTACAAGGGCAAGGTTCGGGCGCTAACAATTAATGATGCACTGCGCATGCCCAGTTCCGGTGATAAACCAGAGATGAAGTTCGACTAGAGTAAATTCGTCACTATAGTCTAACCATTACACATAATATATATTTTCGCGTTCTGTGGCCATAGTAAGCATCCAAACCCTGCCATATGCATCGGGTAACGTTTCAAAATGGCAGATTAAAAAGCCGATTTGCGAAAGAATGTGTCGTCAGTTATTCATTGAAAAAAGGAAATGCGACACTTTGCAACTTTCGAGTTCTATTGACAGAAATAAAATTAACGGAATCTAACTTTGCAACGCTTTTTATTTTGGGTCATTTACTTTATAAAAAGTGAGAAAATGATCAGACAGTTTTCACGTCCAGACCTAGATCTACATCAAATAGTACACACACCTTGTCAAAATATTTCCAGTCCCGTCATGTAAAAACAAACTGAGTGGAGTCCCTTTAACAACTCAGATAAATTATATTTATGCTTTTTTTCTATTATTTCCTTAAGTACGATAGAAGGAAAACTTTGGCATTGTTCTGTATTGAGTTATAATACTAGAAATGTATTAGTTTGATATCCTACATCAAATACTTTTTTTTCTTTGATCTGTGTAAGTGTACATTGTCGTAAACCAATTTTTATTATTACAAATTTAAATTTGGTAATTCTTGTAAATCCCGACCTGCATTAACATTCTCGTTAAATAAAAATATTCGACCTGATTCAATTGATCTTTTTTATTTATTTATGTCAGCACTAATTTTGCATGCGTGATGGTATTTAGCGAACAGGAAGAACTTCAAATTATATGGTACTACAGACATGTCTTAACACAGAAATATGACGTTGTCGTTTGAAAATTTGTTCGTGTAAAGCCAATATAAGAATCTTGAGATGTTAAATATCACGAATTATGAAATCAATTAAATCTAGAAGGTATCTAATTTTCAAGTTTTCATAGATAGTAATGTGATCACTGATTTCGTAAATTTGTGGACTTTTTTTTTTTTCAAAATCCTTACCATTTGATCCATCGCCGCTTTGGATACGATTTTTAAAAGTTCTAATACTACATTCAATGATACAAAAAAAGCTTACTGACCTACAGACGAGTCAATAAAACTTGCTAACATACAGAAAATTTAGTAAATTATGCTAAACTACCAGAAGATGCACAAAAAACTTGCTTAACTTCTAGAAGATGCAAAAAAGCTTGTTTACCAACCAGAAGATGCAAAAAAAAGCTTGCTTACTTATTAGAAGATGCAAAAAGCATGCTTATATTCGGAGGTGATGATGCACTTAAATAAACATTAATTTTTAATAAAGGCAGATTATGCCACAGAAACAAATCTTATTTTCTTCTTTAAAAAGGACAATATAACAGGACCCCCCAAAAAGAGAAGCTTTTGGAAATTTGTCTTTAAAAGTCTAACGTGTTGGTAAGATCCAGTAAATGTCTAACTTATAGAATTGTTAAAAAACTGATTATGGTTTTGAAAAAAATGTAAACAGTTTACCATCCGATTTAGCAATAGCTTTGATTTTTATCATCATCATCATCATCATCATCATCATCATCATCATCATCATCATCATCATCATCATCATCGTTATCATTATTATTCATTTTCGAATTTCCTTGTATATGCATAATAAGTATTACTATAATTTATAACATGAAAATTCAGACATTGTCAGTGAAGTTTTGTTTCATATATCTACTCCGTAGGAATAAATTGGATCTAGTCATTAACGCATTTTAAATATTATGAGGAAGTTAAGTGTAATAGCAAAACTGGTATGCCGCGAAAATTAACTTTGCTTTAATCTATTTTATTTTAAAATAAACTCCTTCCAAAACAACGTTTCAAACCCATGTCCTTATAGCTCCACTTTGTGTGCATTCTTTTGAAGCTAAAATATTATACAAAACCTTCCCAGTCCTGTCACAATACATGATATGCAATGGAAAAAAAATTTTGGACGGTGTTTTGTTACATTGATCACAAATAAACGAGGCACACGCGCATCAGTTTACAGGAAGAAAATAATTAAATAAACTCACATTTACATCCTTGTTAATATACACATGACAAGGCCATTTTTCAGGTAGAAACCCGATAAAAGATTAACCATAAATATCACTCTATGTTATTCAATATCGTACAAAAATAAAAAATAAAAATAAATCACATAATCTTCAATTCATACTTTACACGTGAAACACTTCAACAAAAGGAAGGCCTACGACATTATATCCCATATCATGTGCCAGTTTTGCTAGTCCTTCAGTTTCAATGTGATGTTTATACACAACTTCCGGAAAGTGTAAACCGCTTCGGTGACAGTCTGCTTTTATCATTAGCGCGCATCCACCGACACCGTCTAATTCCACTATTCGACCTTCACTTTTGAGATCCGGAAGATGTATTCTGAGCGTCTTACTGTAACCTTCTAATACTAAAGCGTCTGGTTCGAGTTGCGATTGATAGTTCCTGGAAGCGTTTGTTTCTCTCCAAGAATTCCGATCATACTTCATTTTATAGCCCATACTTCTCATTAAACAACATGTAGCAACGACATCTGATTTCGCGAACAGCATCTGTTGAATTAGGTCATCCGGAAGTTCGGCAATGTCACTGTCAATCCATAGAACATAATCAAATTTTTTCTGACGCAGAGCAAATCGAAACAGACGATTTCTAGCTAGAGCCATGTGTGTTCTCCTGTGTTCCTGGACATCTTGCTCGTGTCGCGTTCTATGTTTTCCTTGATAACCTCCTGAAATGTTCAATTTAACAGCATACGCTGAATTAAACTTTTTCAACTTTCGAAGATTGTATGCAGTTCTATTCGCTACTTCAAATGTGTCATCCGTGCTTCCATCCTCGCCAAAGTACAAAGAGATTAAGTGAGGAGGATAACTCAACTTCCCGACTTGTACCCCGAATCGTGTTAGTGACGTTGCTGCGTTACGTACCGGCGACAAGATACATATTTTATATACATATGTATCGTTTGGTAGTTGCAGGAATCTGCTCAAAATCTCTTGTGGCAGCTGTTGAATCTTGTCACTTTTTGCACTCTCCGAAATATTATTTATGTTGTTAACAATTGGACGTTTCAAACCCGGCTTGTTTTTCTCCGTAAGTTCGTGTTGTTTACCACTCGTACTCACTATAACCGGTGTAGTTGTTACCACATATCTTTTCTCTTTTGAAAATTTATGAATTATAAGATGACTTTTATCATAAAGTGTGAACCGTATTAAAACACTTATCCCGATAGTTACAAAAATCACTATAAAACAAAACTTAAGCAAAATTTGTTTATACTTTCGTTTCATTTTAATAAAGCATATGACCGTGACCAGTGTATACGCGGATACACATACAAACATTACGTCAATAAAATTCATTTAACATCATTCATATATATCTACCTGAATATCAAACTAAAGTAACACATGTGCATACAAGCATAACATTACTTTTTTAATCGACATTTCCTATTGTGCGGTTATTTATTTTTCCGTGCGTATTTACATATATTGAGTTTTATTTTATTATTTTTTTGTTGTTGCTAAATCTATAAACTTCAGAATTTATATGATGGATTTGTCCATTTTAAGTTGGAATATCTATTTTTAGGTTTATAGAGGGATTTCAGTATCAAACTAGAACTGCCACTGTCATACATTCAACAGTGGCCATTTAGAGCTCAAGGACAACCTTCCTGCCAAATCCAGTGCATTGCTAAATTATGTATACTACATGCTTCAAATGTGAAAATGTCAATACACTGCGGACAGGCATTCTTAAACATTTGAGCAGACAAGCTTATTATAGTTAAAATTCCTGTAACCTTGACCTTTGACACAGTCACCCAAAAATCATTAGGGGTCATCTACTAGTCATACCAATACCAAATATGAAGACTGTTGACCAAAGCATTCTTAAGCAGTTGAGCGGACAAGCTTTTTAAAGCCAAGGCCCCTGTGACCTTGACCTTTAACCCAGTGCCTTCAAAATCAGTAGAGGTCACCTAATGGTCATGATCAACCTCCATGCCAAATATGAAGATTGTGGGTCAAAGAAATCTTGAGTTATTGAGCAGACAAGCTTTTTATAGGTTGACATTTGACCCAGTAACTTCAAAATAAAGAGGAGTAACCTTATGTTCATGATCGACCTCCATGCCAAATATGAAGACTTTGGGTCAAAAGCTTCTTAAGTTATTGAACTAACAAACTTTTTAAGTCAATGTTCATGTGACCTTGAGCTTTGACCCAGTGACCTCAAAATTAATAGGGATCATGACTAATCATGACTAACCTCCATGCCAAATATGAGGACTGTGGGTCAAAGAAATCTTAAGTTATTGGGCGGGCAAGTGTTTTTAGTCAAGACCCCTGTGACCTTGACCTTTGACCTAGTGACCTCAAAATCAATAGGGCTCATCTACTAATCAAGACCAATCTGAATACAAAATATGAAGAGTGGGTCAAAGGAATCTTAAGTTATTGGGCGGACAAGCTCTTTTTAGTCAATGCCCATATGACCTTGACCTTTGATCCAGTGACCTGAAACTCAAAAAAGTCATTTTATGGTCATGGCTAACCTCCATGCTAAATATGAAGACTGTGGGTCAAAGGAATCTTAAGTTGTTGGGCGGACAAGCTTTTTTAAGTCAAGACCCCTGTGACCTTGACCTTTGATCTGGTGAACTCAAAATCTATAGGGATCTTCTACTAATCATGACCAATCTAAATACCAAATATGAAGAATGTGAGTCACATGAATTTTAAGTTATTGGGTGGACAAGTAAAACCCCGACGGACGGGGGACGACCGGACGTCCGGACGGACAAGCTGATTCCAGTATACCCCCCCCCTTTATATTACAATTCCGTTATGCGGGGGTATAAATACAAAAATTGAACCACCCACAGCATAGAACCTTGTCTGTCTCCAAGGATGCGCAGGCCGACTGGAGTTATATTTGAATCAAAGGCTAAATACGGTTGGTTTTCTAACAGGGGATAGATGTAAGAGTGTAAAGAGGAAGAGGCTATTGCATTGTTAAAATCAAATCCAAGTTATATTGATATAAGAATGCTAATTTATAATTCATAATACTTCAAAGTCTTGTTATTTACTATTCATAACACCGGAATGGTATTGAATTAAAATAATACAAAAATGTTTAATTATTAAATTTAAAGACTCACAAAGTCAGTATACTCGTGTGTTCACGAAATACATCTTTACCAAATGACAAAGTTCCTAATAAAAATTAATATTTTGGATCTGTGTTGATTCATCTTTTTATGAAGGACCATCTTTATATCTTATTTTTCAAAATATGCAAATGATGTCAAATTGCGTCATCAGCTGTTGTTCAAAGGCGATGTCAATCAAATTGCTTATTTGTTTCTAAGTAGCATGTTTTAGTTTCTCTTACAGTAAACAAGTGTAATTTGTAAATAAATTTATACATAAGAAGTGCCTTATTTCGTACGGCCCATGTACAACAGCTGAAATATTTAGTTTTACAACCTCGGTTTTTAAGTTGATGTTATAATTATGCTATTATTGACGCTATTTCAAAACTTCTGTCGATACCTCTATCCTAACCAAAATAAAGTAATATAAGCTAACGAAGGTAGCAACGTCTTCTTATTTCATAAGATAAAGAGGTAAACTTTTATACCCTTTAACAGATTATTACTACTACATTTGTATCATCATCATCATCATCATCATCATCATCACCACCACCACCACCACCACTAGCATCATCATCATCATCACCACCACCACCACCACCAGCATCATCATCATCATCATCATCAATAACATTACTATTTATTATTTATCAGAACCCTTTTCATATACACGTTCGAAGGCGCTTCGCAGTTATATAAACTGATTACTAAATAACAATTAACAGTATTGTAAAAATCGTTAGACAGATTTTCAACAATTGATATACAACATACTAAAATATGAACAAAACAGATGTCATAATATGATGAAAATAACAATAATATGTGTGATATTATAAGTAAGTAATGGCAATACTAAAACGTATTTGTAATTGTATTGGTATGACTGATGGCGATATATTTTAGTTAGTATGGGTGTTAAAAAATATGACAATTCTAACGCATACCGGTATTTGCATTGTACACGTATCGAACATTCTGTATTGCATCATCGATATGAGTTTAATCGATATGACAAATGACGATACTGCGAAATATTGGCGATGTATTGGCATGAAAAATGTGATACTTTATCATTCTGAATTGAACATCGGTATGAAAGATGATAATTTCATTTATATAGCCATTTTATAAAATAGGCAATAAGTTTAAAACGTATTATACTAGTAGGTGTATATATATATTCATGATAATACGAATAAAATGTAAAAGGAAATTGCGGAGCTCAAAAGTTATATGCTTCCACCAGTCTGATTATACTATGAACAACAAATATAGTGCTTTTTTGGTATCAGTTTATGTCCAGAACTTAATCACCTGTTATAGTCAGATTTCGACTATTATCTTTTTTTGTTAAATTATCAACAAAAATATTTTCCTTATCTAGGGGTGAAAAACTTCAACAAACGGGAGCCCAACAACACTGTACCCCATGTCGAGAGCCATCTTGGCCAGCCCTTCAGTTTCGATGTGATGTTTGTACACCACTTCCGGAAATAATAGACCGCTTTGGAAACAATCGGCTTTAACCATAAGTGCGCATCCTCCTACTCCATCCACCTTGACAACACGACCTTCACTTTTGAGATATGAGAGATAAATTCGATCAGGTTTCGCGTAGCATTCCAGAACAAGAACGTCGGGCGATAAATGTTTCTGCTTTTCAAGTGAAGCTTTAGTTTCTCTCCACGAATTACAGTCGTAAATAGATTTCATTCCATTGAACGTCTCCTTCAGGCAAGGTGTCACTACGACATCTGATTTCGCGAACAACATCTGCTGCACAAGATCAGGCGGAAAATGTTTAAGGTCACTGTCTATACTAAGAACTTGCTCGAATTTTCCGTGCTGTAGAACATATTGTACCAGACGATTCCTTACCGCTGCTATATGGGCACGTCTATATTTCTGGAAGACTTTCTTATGTCTTTCAGCTTTAGGTCCTTGTATTCCCCCAGATAACTGCAAACGTATCACTCTTGCATCCCTGAAGTTTTGAACCTTTTTTAAATACTTAGATATATTTATTGCCTTTTCAAAAGTTTTATCCGAACTTCCCGATTCACCAAAGTACACAGACATCAGATGGTGCGGGTAATTTAATTTTGCAAGTTGGTCCTTGAATGTCTCTAGAGACCATTCAGAATTCCTTACTGGCGACACGATAGCAATTGGTTGCGTGTAATTTATTGTAGGAAGTGATAGGAATTGTGCAGTTGTATTTCCACTTATATGCGGCACCAAGCGATTACGAATGTATTTTTCCTTTGGTATATATTGTAACGGAAGATAAATCGACCCATTAAGAGGTCTAAATGGTTTTTGTTTAACTATTTCATTTGTGTTTTTCAAAAGGGCAGTGTTGTTGAAAATAGTGTTGTGTTTATCAACATTCCGAATTGCTACGTTCTTATCATATCTAATATAATTATTCCTTACTACAGCGTCATGTCTATTATGTTTCCTCTTGACAACGTCATGTTTATTATCATTTCTTATATCAACGTTATGTTTAATATTTATCCCAGCTAAAACATGATCCTTCACAACAGTGTTACGTTTGTTATCATTATTCTCGGCAAAGCCACGAATGCGATCATATCTCACAACAGCGCCTCGTTCATTTTCATTCCTCACAGGAGTGTCACCTTTAGCATTATTTCTCACAACACCTTCATATTTATTAGAATCCTCAACTGAAGCGTCGTATATTTTATCATTTTTCACAACAGCGGCATCGACAGTGTAGTTTCTCCGAATAGCTATTTCTATAGGAATTCTCGGGCGTTGCTTGTGTTTTCCTCGATCATACACATTGTTTCTCATTTTATACACATGATTTTCCTTGTGCTTAAATGATTTAAAAATAGATTTAGAACTTTGTGAACTCGAATTCTCTTTATGATTGCCTAATCCAATTACAAGATCAAAACTTATGAACAGGTAAATTAAACCAAAACAAACCATTGAAAAACACAAAGTCTTAAATGAAATTCTTATCCTCATATTTGTTTGATTTTAAAACCTATACAGCCTGTTTAAACCTTGATGATAGTACATATAGGTAAAAAAGTAGTACTTTACAAAACTAAAAATACACTACCACAATAAACCTATTGAATGAATTGAATGAATTATTGATTATCTGGTAGTTATGGAAAAAAAAACACGCACATATTCTCAAATTACTTAATATGGACTGATATTACGTCACTGCGTAGTGGTACTGTTTATGAGTCCACTTCCGGTTTAACCAATTATGGCAAATTTAACACAATAACCGGATTCCGTGATAACGCGAAAAGTACTTTTATTTTCTTCCTATGCTGAAAAACTATTTTTATGAAACTTGAAATATGGGAAAGTTTGCAGTAACTGTATAGAGATTATACACATCCTGTTAAGATAGATCATAGGGAGTAGCTTCGGCGACCGTGTGCAGATTTCTGATTCAATTTTTATACAGTAAAATTCTTTTCTCTATTAGTTCTTTATTCCTTAAGGTATTTACTCCAAACTTCAATTATATGTTTCTAATCATCAACAACATCATATGTGACAAGACACCAAACTTATCAGAATCACCCCCGTTGAATTTTCATGTTTTTAATGTAACTTCTTTTTGTCTTAATGTATCTACTTCAAACTTCAAATATATTATTCATTATCAATCAAATCATGTGTGAGAAGATTCAATATTTAGAATATTTAGCTTGACTATTTCCAGAATTTCCTCATCGATTTACCATAAATTTAAAAGTATATGTTGTTTCCGTTTTTATGAATTTATTTGTTTGTTTATTTGTAGTCACTGTCCCCATTAATGGTGAAGAGCGAAGATATGTGATGAAGAGCGAAGATATGAATTTTCAACTTTTTTCCTAAAGAAGACGAACTGTTGAAAGGCAAGAAAAGCGTTTGTAGTATCGAACAAATTATATATTCCAAAATGACAATAATATTCTGCTTATATTCAAAAATTAAAAACATCATCACTAAAACAACAATAACCTTTCACCCCAACGTTATCATCATAACTCACCACCTCCGCCATCACCACCAGCATTACTACCATCACCTCTATCTTCACCACTACCATCATAATCACCACCACAATCATAATTATCACCTTCGCCGTTATCATTACCAACACAACCGTCACCTCAAACATTACCACCACCATCATCATCATCACCACCACCACAATCATCATCACTACCACCGCCATTATCACCACCACCACCATCATTATCATCACCATCACCACCAACACTATCATCATCATCACCACAATCATCATCATAATAACTTAGGTCATCATCAAAGTCATCCCCATCATTTTAGCTCACCAGAGCCCAGAGCCAAAGGCTCAGGGTGAGCTATTAGTATCAAAGGGGGATACTCCGGCGTCCGTTGTCCGTCTTCATGCGTCAACAATCCTCTTCTTCTCTGAAACCGTTGGGCAGATTTACTTCAAATTTGGTCTGCAGCATCCTTGTGACAGTCACACTTGAATTTGTTCATGCCATTTCAATTGGCCCCTTTTAGGGGGCTAAAATAGAAAAAAAAATTATAACATCTTCTACTACAGAACTAATTGATGGATAATCACCAAACTTTGTATGTAGCATTCTTGGGTATTCTTTTATCAAGTTTGCTCATATTAATTTGATTGACCCCTTTTAGGGGTCTCTAGAGCTAAAAATATAAAAAAAAACTTTAAACATCTTCTTCTAAAGGACTAATTGATGAATGATCACCAATTTTTGTCTGTAGCATTCTTGAGTAGTATTTCATCAATTTTGCTCATATTAATTTGATTGACCCCTTTAAGCTAAAGCTAAATATAGAAATACCTTTAAACGTCTATTTCTACAGAACTAATTGATGGATGATCACCAAACTTTGTCTGTGGCATTCTTAGGTACGCTTTTATCAAGTTTGCTCATATTAATTTGATTGGCCCCTTTCAGGGGCCACTAAAGCCAAAAATAGAAAAACCTTTGAACATTTTTTTCTGAAATGATTGATAGATGATCACCAAACTTTGTAGCATTATAAGGTAGTTTTTTATCGAGTTTGCTCATATTAATTTGATTGGCACAGTTTAAGGTTTAAGCTTAAATGCCCAGGTCATGGTATTTCTTCAAATTATTGTTTAAACATATTCTATGCTTAAATTAAATATCAGAAAATATTGACAATGGATAATTTCCAAATCTGAAAAGCGGTTGTTCCAGGGCCATCATGGCCATCTTGTTATTTTGTTGTGTTTTTTTTTAAAAAAAAAAGCAAATTATAATAAATCGTTCAGGTAAATCCTCTATATGTAACAAAACAGCACAGTTGCTCCCAATATAAGAAATTTTGGGCGATACAAAATCTAGGTCACCTTATTTATGCGTTGAAATCACCGCATATATAAGAGAATGACCACCACGTTTATGCGACAATGCTTTAATGCGGCGTTATATTTGCACAACTTAAAATGTCATTCGTGTTAACTCTTTGTGTGGTAGGTAATGAGCGATGCGAACACAAAAAAAGATTCTGAAATTGACTGAATCAAGGGATGTAACTCTGTCATCACTGGAACAATAAAGATAAAACTTTTATATAATTATGGTATTTAGGGGCCGAAAGATAAATTGTTGTAATTCTTAAATTTCAAATTAAAAAAGGACACTGATTCGGAATTATGATTGGTATACAAATGTCATTAGATTGTGTGGTTAAACCCTTCATGTGAGGTGACTAATTATATTCAAATTTTCGTCAAAAGATCTCTTTTTTTTTGCTGATCAGCTATTTCAAATATCTATCAGCGAAATAATGTGGGGGAGAAAGCTGGTTAAAAAGCCATAAATCGTAATTGACTTTAATTATCTCTTAATGGTAAAATCAAAGCTAATATAAATCACATTATAAACCGAAATATTAATGTTTAATGGTATAAAAGATATATACGAATACACTCCGACTGTTTTGATGATCTCGAATGAAAAACCTATCTGTATGAAAGCTAAAAGTTTGCTATAATTTATGTGTATCACGGGTTGAAGTTTTTTGGCGTTTATTAGTTATATTATTTGACAGTTAGCTATAAATTTTGTACATATGTTTTGAGGTTAATATCTTAATTCTTATGTCAGTCTGATTTGATTTGGCATAATCCTCGAAAATTGAGGTCTGCTGGGGTATAAAACATATTGATTCGTCTACATAGATCGATTAAATGCTTGAATCGTCTGTCCGTCTCTTTGTTTTTTTATAACGTTGACAGGGGGGGGGGCAACTTTAAAGACATTTTCTATAGTTTCTTCATTGTTACATTGGCAAGGCAGATAAATCTACACTTGCAAAAAAAATGGCGGAAGATGCATTTTACTAATTTTTTAGGGTTTATTTGGTATTTTTTTTATATGTGACCGTCCGTAGCGTCTTGTAACCTTACATAAACGTGACTTTTATCGTCAGTGTGGCGATTTTCCTACCATTAACAGGGCATAAACAGGGCGATACGTTTATACACCATGTATATCCGGTTATTTGTGACAACAACAAAACAATTATATTAAACTTTAAACTAATTTTATTCTATAGTCATACATAGTGGCATATGTATTTTATTTCACTGAGTAATGTCTTAGTAGATCTTTGGCATTTTATGGACACGACTTCATTAATAAAAAAGCCAAAAGGTGGGGATACCGGGCATACAAAACCCTGTTAGGGCATCCCTGGCAAAACAAACAAATGACACAAAATTAAAACAAAGCAAATGGAACAAACTGTATAAATTTTTGGAACAGTATGTTCTAGAAAATCATTTATCAAAGCTCTTTAATTTTAGAGCACCGTGGAAAGACTTAACTGACCTGACCTAATCATGTTATCCCCTTGTGGGGCAAATGACATCCACAACAGCTCTCCGTCTGGGTCGGTTCATTTTTGCCCTTTTTGCCTTCGCCCAGGTGATGTTGCAAGTTTTCAGCTCAGCGTCTATGATTCGTCTCCAGGTGGTTGTTTGTCTATCTCTTCCTCTTTTGACTTGAAGATTCCAATCCAGAGCTTGCCTTGTGATGTTGTTTTGGGTCCGCCTAAGAATGTGTCCTATCAAATGCCATTTTCGTTTCTTGATGGTGCTTGTGATGGATGACTGGCCTGTTCTATTCCACAGTTTTTGAGTTGCTGATCTACTCTGGCCATCTGATTTGTAGGATCTGTCGGAGGCATTTCTTGACGGAAACCTGCAGATCGTGCTCGTTTTTCTTACTTTGTTTCCAGGTTTCTGATCCATACAAAAGAACTTATATGACATTGGTCTCAAAGACTCTAAGTTTGTTTTTTTGGCTGATGGTCTTGTTTTTCCATAACGGTCTGAGGGTCACAAAGGCATGTCTGGCTTTACCAAGTCTCGTTTTTGTCATCGTCAGCCCCCCATTTTTCAGATAATAAAATGTTGACTCTTCATGGATTTACCGTTTTGGTTGTGATACAGAAGTTGTTCGGGTGTTTTTTTCTTAAAGACTTTGGTTTTAGGCAGTGTTTGATGTCCAGGCCGTTGAAAAGCGTTGAAATATTCCTCGTAGATCTCTATACGGCAACAACTAGAATTGTGCACCTCTTGGTATTTTATTCGAAATAATCGCCGAGGAGTCTTACACCGCCGTATTCGTGAATGATGCACCGAAGTAACACTGGTTACCTCATTAAGAAACAGCTACATGTGGAGCATGGACAGGTAGAAAGTTTTTAACCTATGTCAAAGCATCGGTCTCCTTTCATGGCATTCGGTTTCCGATTCTAGCATGGCACTTTAAAGCAGATTCAGCAAAAGTTATTAGGTAATATTGAATCTTGGTTGTTTTATTTTGTTGTTGTTGTTGTTTTTCAAAGCAACTTATCTTGTTACCGCACCTCTACACCAAATGTAAATCTTTAATATGAGCAAACAACAATTACTTTGCTTTAATCTTATTTTCTGTTGTTTTTTGTTTTGTTTTTGCAGATTTTTTTTTAACTGGCTGGAACTGTTTTGTTTTTTCATAATTAGGTTTCCAAATTTATTGCGG